AGAGCACTGCCCCTAGCCCACAAGTAATGGCATCTGTCTCATCAGTGAATGGCTATGAAAAGTTGGGAAACCTCAGGATTGGGGCTGTCACCAATTTCTGCTTGAGTCTGAAAGTTGCATGGGCTGTTCATCAAGGGTTATTTCTGTCAGTTTTCTCTTTCTCCCCTCTTTTGTAGAGGTCCATTGGAAGTACTTAAGGAGGGGTGCTGCAGCGTTGGAGAATCCCTTCATGAACTAGCCTTTAATCAAGGTGTCCACAGCGAAATGGATAGTCGCTCAAGAACAAGGAACGCAGCTGGAGGAGACTACTTTAAGTACCAAACCAATGCATGAAGAAAGACTACAAGACGAACCACATGCACGGCCGAAATAAACCATGCATATGCATTCAGTAGCCGAGGTGTGTGTGTGTTGTGGACTGTGCGCTCTGCCACAAGCACCTTTGGCGCTTTGTTTGCAGTGGTTGATCTGAATAATACAATATGCTAATGTTGATGAATTATTCACATTTCTCTGAACCAATCATGTTTTGGGGGCTAAGTAAGCCTAGCAATAGTTTGTCTAGGCTACCGGTACTTACGTCCATGAAGTCTTTGCACAACTGTGCGGCCTGGTATATGAAACTTTTGCCATATCCAGTTGGAAGATTGACAAATACGTCTTGACCCTTCAGAACAGCCTTCACGGCCAACATTTACTGCATTTTCAATTTGTTGATCGGAATCCCAAGCGTCGGTGCTACATATTGTCAGCTAGAGCCCCACTGCTGGAAAAGACGCCATGTTGAATACACGCGTCCATTGTAATGATGAATAATTCATACATACATGATGTAATCCCACAACAGAGGTAGTTGTTTTGATTGGTGGAGACTTAATGCATACGCATATATCGTATCTGCTACCGAAACGGTAGCAAATGTGAAGAAAAACATAAGCGTGGGGTAGAACTCTAAAGGCATGCAGGGCGGATGTGCGGTTCGTCATGTAGTCTTTCTTCATGCATTGGTTTGGTACTTAAACTAGTCTCCTCCAGCTCCTTGCTCTTGAGCAACGATCCATTTCGCCGTGCCTTGATCAAAGGCTACTCACGAACTTGCTGAAGAAACCTGCAAACCCCAGAAAGGATCGTAGCTGATTGACCGATAACATTGCTTGATAGGAAAGGCATCCCCCATATCAATGTTGTGTCTGATGGAATCAAAGTACCCTTAGTCCCTGTCATGTTTATGAAATAAGTTTTCAGGAGATCGAAGAATTGTGTTCTCAACTCCTGTTACAGTCCTTCTCCCATGTCTACCTCACCAGCAATGGCTTCGGTCTGTGAAGCAGTTACAGTAGCTGCTTGGGCAACAGGCGGTTGGGTCGGGATATTCATTGTTTTCTTTCCTTTGCTTAGACAGACTTCATCTGTATGATACAAGGTACCAAGGCAGACATGAGCAGGCAGGGTAACATCAAATTTGGTCTCATTTGTCAACACTACCACAAACTTACCTGCCACAACATGGACCTAGCCCAAGTGATGTCAGCACGTCTCAGTACTCATCTGGCTCCAAAATGGCTTTGTACTCCATATGATCTGGCCCTGGTCAAGCTGATACATACAGAACTGCTACTTGTCTGGCTAGTATCACTGGACTCTTGTCTTGAGGAAGATAAGCATGACTAATGGGACTGGCAGTCATCTGGAACTGTAGGCACTTCTTTGTGGCTGTCATTGCCCATTGCTATGTTGGTTCCGTCTGTTGACCCCAACTGCTTTAGGTGTTAAGCTTCGATCAGGCAGGGTTATCGGCCATGACCAACACTGTCCTAGGATATTCATATCCAGGATTGCTGGGGTTCGTGGTGCACCCGAGGTCTCCAGATCCATTAAAATTAACATGAGGGGATCAGGTCTTCAAGGCAGTGAGGTCAACCTCAATGTAGCCAAGATGAGGAATGTCAACTCTATTCTCAGATTGACATTGGAAATTTCATGGTATGTCACGAAGTTTATAACCCATCCCCTTGAAGGCTGTATCGTAACACTTATCTGTAATAGTCATCACTGTAGACCCTGTGTCTAGCAGAGCATCCAAGGGGATATCTCCAAAGAGAACTGTCACCAAGTAACAATTGGCTACTGCTCCAGTTGAGAGGATCCTAGAGCTATCTGATCTCCCTCCAGCTGTCTGGCTCCTAACAGCTAGGGGCTGTCATTTCCCTGCCACTGGGCTTGTCGCGGTGGTGTCTGCTTGGGGATTGGTGGTAGTAGGTTCGGGGTATTGGATACTTTCTGGCAAAGTTTTCCAACTCGTTGCAGTTGAAACAACGAACTGGGCTGTGGGATGGTCACTTTGGGAATCCATTGGCCAGTGGGTTGCCAGGATGGCGGTTGGGGTGGTGCAGAGGGTTATTGGAGGGTGTCTAGCTTCTCCAAGACCTGCTTCATTTGCGATTCCATCCATTTGGCCAACGTGGTCCTCATCCTTCAACTAAAGTGCTGAAAGAGTCCCCTGCTGCCTAGCCATCTCATGGTTGGCGAGTTTGTGCTCCGCCTATTGTATTATCCAGTGCTTCATCTCTGCAAATATGATGTCAGACCTATGGTCCAACATGTCATGGCAAGAGAGACAGAATCCCTCTGCTTCTAGATGGTCCATGAACTGTTTCTGCAGAATCATGTCCGAGTGCTGGAAAAGCTTATTATATTTCCTCTGGAAGTGCTGGAACATGTATTGTAGGTCAACTGAGAAGTCACGAATGGTAGTTAGATTCTTAGAGTAAGATTTAGCAAGGTAGACCAGGGCATCTTCTACTGACTTTCCTTCGGTTAGGAGGGCCGTAGCCTCAACCCTGGGGCTCCCCTTCAATGTGTCAAGCAGGAACTGCCCCTACTACTGAGTTGGAGTAGACAGTCTGTCATAGGCATGACGGATGGTAGTGACAAACTCGTCTGTTGGCACACTGCACCCGGTAGTATCCTCCCTTCCCTAAAAAAATGGCAGTTTTCTATCTGGAGCAAGAACAACAGAGGTAGGGGCAGCCACTGTCAGTTTTAGCTTTCCCAGCTCCTCTGTCAGGACAACAACCTGAAACTCTCAACTCCATCACTCGGTTGGGGAAGAATGACATCATCCTCCATTGGCAGGAGAACTTGGTCCTCCCCATCCTTGTGCGGTAATCCTGGGCTCTTCAAAAGTGCGAGCTTGGCACGGTCAGTGGTAACTTCCCTTTGCTGAGGGTAAATTTGACTACTGAACCCCATGTCTATGCACCCTGGCAGTTGATTCCGGCATTTGTATCTTAATATGTGTTGCCTCCTCAAGCCACTGCTTACACTTTTGTGGGGATAGGTGCTTTGGGTTCTTGAAAGGGGGAGACTCGAATCAGTGAAACGACTCCCACACCGGCAAATGTGATGTACTGACTGTGATTTATTCTGGAAAAAAAATTGGCAGACAAGAGACTGTGCCAAAATGTGTTCTTCATTATAAAGCACACACTGCCAAGAGTGGCAACAAACACTTGATGAAATAACAATGCCAGGCAACTGTATCAACAAACTACAGTATCTCAAGTGTAGCAACACATAGATTAGTTACCCACATTATTTTAGACAAGTATGTAATATTTCAGTTGCCACATACTCCTCTGGAAACAGCACTAACAATTTGGCCACCACCCCTGTTACTATGGCAGCATAACTTAGCCTGGCACATGCCTCTAACCCTAACCCTCTTCAATACTAGGATTGAGGGAGAACGGCAAAAGTTCATGACTGATTGCGAAAGATGCCATTAGTGAAGGTCGTGGGTTAGACCTTGTGTTGTTCTTGCTCAGTCGGGCATAAATCCAGCTGGATATTTCTTTTAAATCAACCGCACTGCTCAAGAATGTCATTCGCAGTGCCTTTTTTGAAGGATTTAGGCAGCAGGCACACCTCCATGTAACATTTTCAAGAAATTTTGTAGGATTTTGGGGGATTGAGAGAGAATCCTATTTTTCAACCCCGGAATTGGAGGATTCTGGAGGATGAGGAGGGTTCCCAGCAAAAAGGGCCTAGGGGTTAGGGCTAAAGCATAAACACTAAGAGGGGTTGTGATGCTGTAAGCAATAAAACCACTCTTATGATGCTCCAATCCAGGGTAGCTTTCTAAAGCACCGGCTCCTTTCAATATAAACAGGCCTATTTGAACCACTTTGTGCAAAACATGTACATTACAGTACACAGTACACCAACTTCTTTAGACAATAAACAAACTTTTTCTCGCTGAACCTCTTTAAGCTACAAAAAAATTATTGTTCTAAACAAGATGAAAAGTATGTGCGGGTATGCAGAGACATTAGTAGTTTCAGTGAATTCAGTTACACACAAGTTAAACATTGAGCAGGGAAACAAACATTTCGGCCATTAGCATTCTTAGAACAAATCCAACCCAACTGTTCCTGTTACCAGACTTTAAATTTATTGAATCTCACCAAAATGCAGCATGTCATCACTTGGACAGAAAAACTAGAAAAATCAACTAACACCAGTTGACTATCAGGATCCCCAAATAGCCATTGATTATACAATCTTTAAGTTATCTTCACTCCTTGTTACTTTTAAGGGAAGTTAAAAACTATATTGTGCTCAGGGATTCTGGATAATCTACCACTCCTTGTTATCTACTAAAAAATAGAACATTTAAAACATACCTGAAAAAAGTATGGCAAAAGACAGACTGCTAAAATATGTTCACTCTAAAGCACACACTGCCAAGAGTGACCGGCACACTCAGCAAAGTCCACCCTCTGCCCTGTGACTTGGCTGGGCTTTAGCATTTTCCAATGGAGGTTCTTGCACCCTGCGCGAAGTTCCGGATAATACAAGATAAGTAGGTCCCAAGGCCCTCATATTAATGAGAGTCGACTACTAGGGGCTATAACGTAAGACCTAATTAGGGTCCAGTTACACATGTACATTTGCGAAGGTCAATTGTTCACTTGATAATGTGTTCTGTTTGCTTTCAGGGATTTTACCACTTGTCAAAAGCTCGTATTTCCATGGGAAAAGAACAAGTCGGAACATTGCAATTTGATAACAGAGGAATGAAAGCACTAGCATATGTCAAGATGAGGTATGTGTATGTAGATATGATACTTTTGATGTTGTGTTTGCAGTTTGGCAAACCCACAATTTTGCTTACATTACACATGGGACATGCAGAAAGTTTAACCCGTTGAAAAGCATTTTCGCTTAGCAATTGATTTCAATGTCTTTTTTTCCAGAGATCCCCACAAGACTTTATTTCATATTGGGTCATTCCATAAATAAGGGGTCCAGTAGTATGAGGTAAAAATAAACAAAAAAAAAACCCTTTTTTCACATTTTCATTGCTACTTTTTGTTTATATATTACAAACATTTATTTATAAAAATAAACATCTAATTTGGACACTGATTTGAATTACTATTTGAATTACAACAGTTGAATAAACATAGTGCATGTAGATTGTCAAGCATAACAGGGACCCTATAAAAGTCATACCCTACACTTTTCATGTGGATGTCTTTGACTGTATCCTGGCTTTTTAGCCAGCTCTTGTTTTCCCTATGGCTTTTCCCCCCTTTTTTGGCTTTTTTTTCCCAACTTAGCAAAAAAAGCATTCTTTTTGTTCTGTTCTTTGCTTTTTGCAATTTAAAAAAAAAGCATTGGTTTTGTTCTTTTTTTGCTGATTTGGTTGAACAGGCAGAGCAGCTATTGTTTTCATTACTTTTTTTACTTTTTTCGCAATTCCTTGAAAAGGCATTTTTTTGGTTCTTTTTTGACTTTTTCACCATTTTGCAAAAAGACATTCTGTTTTTGGTTTATCTTGGCTTTTTTACAATTTTGCAGAAAATGCATTCTTTTTGTTCTGTTTTTATTTCTTCCCATTGTTTTTCTACTGCTCAAAAGCCCATTTGTTTTGTGCATGTTTCTTTAACCACCAACTTTAGCCCATTACCCATATAATTGCATATTTAAAAAAATCCATGTATAATCAATCATGGCCTCCCAAAACATTCTGTTTGCAGCAAGTGGCAGAGTATGTGGTCTTTCATATATCTTGTGTGGGTTAGATCACGTGACCCTTCCAGTCGAAACCGGAAGTGGACTAATTGTTTAACAGTGGTAATAGATATTGACTTGTTTGCAATGGTATTAGTGTGTTGGGGTATAGTATTTTTCAAATCATCTACTGAAGACGTCACGTAATTGTCAAGCACCCTCTATCGACAGGTTAAAAATTCTGAAACATGAAATCTGAATAGATGTATTCGAAACGAGCATTTCCACAAAATTTCCAGCTGCAGCACAAGGCTAATCGTCCGCCCCTCCAGATGTGTCACGCTTTCTTACAACGCGATACACAGACATCATTTGCCAGTTTCCTGTAGTCATGACAAATGTAAAGCATGATTCAAAAATCAATGATTTTGTACAATAATTACACAAACGAACCAAAAATTCCTTTCCCAGTGCCGATAAAAATAAGTCCAAATAAGTTCGCTTGACTACTCTCGCATCTCAAGAGCCCAACTAATCACCCCACATTGAATTATTTGTATTGCTGCAAAAAGATCAGGCGTACCTGCCAATGAGACTGCGTTTTCGTGACGTACATTTTGCAAGACACAGCTATCCAATCGCAATACATGTATTCCTTCATAACATCATGCTTCTTCAGCTACCATCTTGCATGCGGGCGGCTGCGCCACATGGTTGGTGAGTGAACTCGGACTGTTGATAAATTGTGTCATGAAGCTAGTGTCGAAAATCATAAGACAGATGGAAAATAAAATAAAAATATCTCTCCATGACACAATTTGTGTTGGAAAGACTACTTACATGGATTGGGGCTTCAGTTGATGAGTCCTCACATTCTTGCAGATACACACAGGCCTACGTGTGCATGCCGTTTAGCTTCGTCATCAGCCATTGCGATCAAAAGCCTTTTAATTTAAAAATCCCTGGATCGATGCTTTCACACATGTATTTGCTTTTTTTAATCTCACATGTGCATTAACATTTTTCATACTACAGTGAATTTTATTATTCTAAACACATCACAATATATTTGATTAATTCGTCGGTGTCTTCACGAAGTGACAAAAACCCACCGGTGGAAAATCTAAAATTTTTCGACCTGGAGTTTTTCCTACCATTTTACTTCCTTTGATCTAATGAGTAAATTAGCAGAGTTTCAAAGCAAAATGTTGTTTAATTTCATAGCAACTTTACACAAACAACTAACAAAAAGCTTAGCCTCTGTGTTCCTCTTTTTTCATGAAGTGACAAAAAGTCATATTGTTTAATACTTCATTGCACGAGTCTGGTTGCACATGTGCACGCGAATGATGCTGTACATGAACGCATGTGCATGTGTTGAAATACAGGATAGTGCTCTCCTTGTGTGATTCGATGTTGTGCCAGTAAAATATATATTTTCGGGCATTGTGCCGATCACCTTTGCAGTATATAGAGAGTCTGCTTTTTTGTGACAGTCTGAGAAGAATTAACCGTGTTTATGTCCCCGACGCTTTGAATTGGAAATGCGGCACCCACTTTACACATTCCGAGAATAACCAGTAGGTATACATGAACATGTACATGTACACCGAGGGTCTGTCTGTGCACCATGCATGGAATATTCGGGTTGATCGCGGTTGCTGCAGCAGGCATGCATAATTCAAGAGCATCAGCATAACAATTGCGTTCATCCCAGGGCTGCCTCATTAAATGTTCTTTGCATGAATGAACTTAATCGTTTGTGTTTGTATTTGTTTATAATCCGCATTGTCACCCATGTCCTGTCAATTCAAGCTGAACCTGTTTGTTACGCATAAGCCTGTTACAGTGGGTCACAGAATATTTACATGTAACTGCAACCCCAGGAGAGTTGGCAGAGTTGAAATACTAATTATGCAAATGTTAATGCACATGCTAGTATACTCCATCGCACATTCAACACACATATGATTTTATACTTTGTAAATTCTCTATATTATTATTTAATGTCAATGTCATAAATTGTTTTTCAGGGATATTTTAATAGAGGACATGATCAACAATAAATGAACAGGATCAAGGGGTTTGTTTCATCCATCATTTATTTCTGGGAGTCCCCTTATCGAAGGGCACACACCCTCCCCCCAATAGGGACCACGCAGCTCCCTAAGGGAGGCTGCCCCCTGGGGTTGCCTCCAAGCTCCCAGACTTACATTATGAATTGGCCTGAAGGTTCTTGGTACAGACCTCTGGTACTGGTGCCTGCATTAACATTACTGGGGAAATCTTAAGATTTGGACTGGGAGGCTTTGAAAATGGCTCTGCCATGCAGTCCAGGTTAACCTTATCAGACAGGGCACAAGTAATATTTTGATGAATGGCATTTGTGCTTACACGGGGCCCTCTGTATCCTAGCTGGAAGCCATTTAGAAAACAATTGTGTAAACATTTGCCGCTCCGTCATTGGGGTATGAGTCTAGGAGAACCAATAGTACCGGTAAATTATCTGTGGAGTGAGCAAGACAGCAAAGGCATTTATTCCCATGGGGCAGGGATTGTATCAAAGTAGTGACTGTTTTGGTAGGTAGAGCACTATAGACTCTCCCCCCCACATTAACTGTTTGGGTTGGGTCTACTAGAGAATACCTACCCAAACAGTCCTGTCCTGCCTGTCCTCCCCACCAGGCTATGACATTTTTAGTCACTTTCAAAAAGAATGATAAACATGGCAGTGAGACTGCAGTGCATAGTGGGAGGTCAAAGGGCATCTTGCATGATATAGTCTTTCAGCGAATAGCTAAATGTATATGCGTTTGGGAAATTTGCATAAGTAGTGACTGTTTGGGTAGGTATTCTCTAGTAGACCCAACCCACACAGTTAAAATGGGGAGGAGTTTGGGAGTAGGCATGGTTTTGAATTCAGCACCTTCATATTGACCCAGAAAACATGATTCCATGTTGCCACTCGAAAGTGAGAACGGAACTCCAGTTCCAGTGAAGCTATGATTTCTGGCCCATGGTCTGAGGGCTTTGCTAGGTATTTGTGTCTCAAGATGTACTTTGCGTTGGGGAGTTGTTAATTGTAAGTATAGGTTTTACCCTTTCAACAACTCATACTGATTAACACTTAGTACTCAGTGCTTGTGAAGATGTTCTCAGGTTTGCTTGGGTGGGACTCAAACCCATGATCTCCTGCTTACTAGTGCAGATGTCTTAACCACTTGACCACTGAGCTTGCCGGGGTTGGCTAGCCAGTCCGAGTCAGATGTTGCAGCGGGAACCAAGAAACAATTTCAAGTAATACTTTGCGTTGTTGGGAGATGGTAATTTTAAGAACGGGTTTGCCCTTACACCAGCATATTTTAATTAACACTGTATACTCAGTGTGCAGCAATTAATGCAGCATTCACAACACTATTCATGGCGACTGTGTCCTGCCAATTGTGCACTGATTGAACGGAGCTAGTCACTACTCCATGCACGCAGCAGATACTGCGCAAGGGTGAGGCTGCAGTGAGGCTGTGAAAGGCGCTCCGCCCCAGTATGAGGGAGAATGAACCTTGCCCGCTAAGTTCTCAGCATTGGACCGGAATGCTGGTTCATGGTAAGCACTACTTCCTGTGTTTTGGGGGCTGTAGGGATCACGGTGGGTTGCTTGGAGATGTCAGGACCCTCTGAGGGGGAGCGGACAGTCGAAGAAGGGCCTATCTACCGTAACTCTTGCAGCATTAGTTGCAAGGGGCAGTGTCCCTGGCAAATGTCTCGTTTGCAGCCTGAGTGGACCCCTGCTGCCCATACATGTATATTAGGTTTGTGCTGGTGCATTGTTGTCCGTACAATAAAAATGTGGTGTCTTAGCGTGTCGCGCTGTTGCGTACTTTGACATGAGTGGGCTTTTGGTTGGAGGGCTACAGTATTACCTGGTGTGTGTGATGTGGGAGAAATGAGGTTGTGTTGCTGGAACCCATGCAATATTAGTTGAGTGGGGCGCCATCCGTAGATTGGATTTGGCCCTGGATGTATTACATGCCCCCTTATAGATAGTGCATTATGGGGGGAAATATGCTAAATACTTCTGTCCTTGCCCGCAACTTACAGTTGAGAAAGCACCATCTGTTAGTTGCTGTTGACCTGTGTCCTCATTTGGGGCAGTTTTCTTATCAGGCAAGTAAAATTGATGTTTAAGCTGTTCCATTTCAAGGGGTGCCTTCTGTAGTTATATTTCTGAATTAGCCGCTTCAGCATGCTTTCCCGTGATTAGATGTTTGTTCGAATAAACCAATCCCTGATGTTCTAGTGTACAGTGAATGGGTGTCCTAGACTGGTTAATTATGTAACTTTGAGTTTTGCCTGAACTAGTAAGCCAATAAGATTAACAGCAAGCCATCCAGCCAAATCCAAAGGATCAGGTGTTCAACTGAGACAGTATACGTGTACTTCATCCCAATGGACTCATCCCTAGCTGCTCAGGGACATTAGACATACTTCAAGAATCCCTATATCACATTGCACTCAAAATTTCCTAATTACGCTTTTGAGAAAATTGTACTCAAAAAGGAGGAAGAGTTAAAACTGAGAAAAAATTTGTTAAGATTAGACACAAACAAGGTTGAGTGAAATTCTGTGAAACTTGTTACATTTTTGAATTGTAAACCGAAAAACACTGACGTGAAAAAAGTCAACCTATGATTATTGTGATGCGACAGAGGGTGCGAGGCATAGCGCACAGCAGAAATTATAGATGGCGCTCTGCCCAGTAACAGAGGCAGATGTTAGGCGCACATAACTGTGTGTTAAGCGAGCACAGTGCACAGGCTCTGCCTTGTGCGTAGTGTGATAGGGCAGCGAAAGTCACTGCTTGGTCACATGAGCATGTACGCGGGCGTGGTCATAGCAGCGCGAAGGCTATATAAGGCGCAATGGGAGCACATTACAGCAGAACCTTGTATTGGGTTCCATCCTGCTATTAAAAACCCTGAACTGTTTGAGCAGAGCATCTGAGCAGGCGTACAGGTAAGACCCTCGTACGTTGGGTCGTTATTGTGGCTAGTCCTAGTCCCGAGTGGTGCATGTGTCATTAAGGGGCTTGGTGGGTTAATTAAGGGGCTATTTGGTGGTGCGGTAAAAGTTCCTTGTGGGAGCTTACGGTCGATTAAGGGTGGATTGCTATCTCGCAGCGCAAGTTGTGAGTGGTGTATTAGCCGTGAGATAGCCCTATTGACTTATTCAGGTCCCGGTGCCACTAGATGTACACGGGTTATCATGGGGCTCATTGCTCCGGGCAAAGTCTAGTCACACAGTCTTCCCATTTAGAGCACCCTCTACTGGTGTATTGGTTGATTGTGATTGAAAGAGTGTTGATGAATAAACCAGCCACTTTGATTGTTGTATATAAGTCAGGTGTCCAGGCGAAGTTATTTCAAGTCAGGTCTGTGTAGGTTACGTCATTAAGTTTCAGCCAATCAGACTAGGCATCATCTCAACAAAGACTAGAGATCATTGAACTTTCTTGGGGGACGGTATACTTTGGTCCCAACGGACTTGTCCCTAGCCGCTCAGGGAATCTCCGGTATGTGCCATCCGACGCGTCACATTATTTACTACTTTAATACCACAAGACAGTTTAGCAATTCAAAGTGATTGAGAACCCATCACATGGTCAGTCTTAAAGAGAATGGGCCGTATAGGGTTAAATTGATGTTATATAATACTTTTTTCAACCATCTTATAAACAATAAGTTGGATTAACCCCTCTTTTATTTCATTAAATAAGCAAAACTTGGTGTTTTCTCTGTGTCCTTTTTTTAGTCTCCACCTGGGCTCTTTTCAAAAATATTTTGATATCAGTCAATGAGGGTAGCAGACAAATCATGGCAAAATTGTGAGGTCATAGGACAGACTTGAACTCCACACCAGAATGCATAGCAAGGAAGTTAATCAGTCCAAGCAAGCGATTTGCAGTGCTCAGTAAAAAAAATTGTTGGAATAGAACACCAACTTTGACAAAGTGGACTAGCCTGTAACCATGGACAAAAACTTCCCCCCCCAAAAAAAAAAAATCACTGGAACACACAAAAACAACCAAACTGGCAAAACAGATAAAAGACAAGGAAGGCAATCTAGCTTTCCCAGTAGGCAGTAGGCCCTAAAGACAAATCCCAACCCAATGTCAACCCGTTTCGTGTCACCTGCTTTTGCCGGTTGTGGACGATAATACATGCATTTTTCATTTTAACCCCTTCGTGCCGGTATGCGGCAAGACCCACCTTAAAATTGAGATCCTCAGCCCGCTTTTCAGCTATTATTCTCGGCCCAAGCTCGAGCGAACACGATGATAGAAGGCAGACCCTGGCTCTTGTATATATGGTAATTGGCCTTTGTGTGTAGTCTAGAAATGAAAAGAC